GCCAAATCCCAAGAAAATTGTTTGTGATATTGTTATAAAGGTATTTAAATGAAATATAATTTTTTGCCCACTGCTAATGTAGCCTTGTCAAAATCAAGCAGGATGTGTCACCAGGACACACCTGCTCCACGTAACCAATCATTGCAGAGCTGCGATTCTCATGACGTCACCTGATTCTGAGCGGCTCCAGCCTCCAAAGGGACCGAGCCTGGCTGCACACTGCACCGCCTTCGTAGTGAGCCGTCCTGCAGCAGAGCGACCGCAGAAACGTTACGCGCTGGAAGCGTCACACTTCACAACACCTGCTGGTTTCACTTCTGCTCACCTGCGTTTCTCCTCTCCTTCCTCTGGCGTAGGGATGGCCAGACACTCGTCCATGTGGCCGTGGAACAGCCTGAGGACGTGACCCCCCGTCAGATATCCTGGAACAACCAACAAACACCCACAATTAGCCTGTTGGCTTTGAATCTGTTGTTCGGAAAGAGTCTAAAGAATCATCTGACTATGAGTATGACTCAGAATATGAGCCTAAATCGTTCATTTGTTGTTCGATTAATAAATTCATGGTTTTCCCTTTTACAATGTTTATTAAAGATTATTTTTTAGTTTTACATTTACTGATTTAATGTAGAGATGTTTAAAAATCTGTATAAATGCACTCAGACATTTAATTTAGCAAGAGCAGATCTGGCCCCAACACAGAACCCTGATGAACTCCACATCAGTGTTTACTTCTGATGTGTAAGAGAGTATAAACTTCTCAATCTTAGCAATAAAACCCCAAACAGTTGACAAAATAACACTAATTACAGTCCAGCCCACATATTCATGGACTTATCTGAAGAAATATAACGTATGGAAAGGTGTTTTCAAACCTCAGTCTGTTAGACTCGGTTCGATTTGGGACCAAAACTGCAACATTTGTTACATTTTCAGCTACTGCAGTTTGCTTTCTCACTGCACTGGGTCAAACAAACCAAACTATTCGAAAAACCTGTTCCCCTCCTCGCCTGCGGAGGCGCTGCACCAAGAACCACAGACATGAAAACCGCTGAAGAAGGCATCGCTTCTTTACAAAATGTAAACAAAAATGGACTAGCATAAAATTTTGTAGGATTTTTCTTTGTCTTTGGTAAAAAAACAAAACAACTAAGACCCATTTCTCCCTTTAGCACTAAATGCTTGTTTGTTTTGGTTGGATTTACCCAGAATGCCCTGCTCTATAATCCACTTCCTGTTTTTATACTGGTCTCCGGTTCATTTGGCGTTCACATATGCATCCGAACTGCAGTTCACTTTAACCAAACTTAGATCTAGGTTTTAGAGTTCGATTGCACGTTTAACAGACTTTCTAGGCTAATGAAATGGAATTTGATTAAACTGGTGAATGCACCCTAAGATATAAATACATATTATTTGCAGGGTTTCCCCCAGTGCAGTGTAAGCCTGGCGGGCCACCAGGCTTTATTTGTGGCCCTGGCAGGCTAAGCGTTATTTGCTTATTTATTATAGGGTTTTTTATACGCCGGTAACAGAAAGCAGAGGCGGGTTGCAGAGTCTGTTTGGTGAAAGGGTTGGAAGCACAATGGCAACATATGTGGACATATTTATATTCACCTGAACTCCACAACCACAGCTTGTCTTTTACCAGTTTACATGCTAACAACTTCAGTGAATCAAGTGACAAGTCACAGATCAAGGATAAAAAACGTTAAGTAGGATGAAACAAATGAATTGCAAAATTTATATTAATTTTAACTGTATTTTCATTAAGTTTGTCTTGTTTAAGACTTAATAGTTGGTGTTTATGTATTAATAATGTCTTCCTATAGCACAAATGTAATATTAACTCAAGGTAAATCTGTTTACTACGAAACAAGCTGCATTAATATTTATGTGTTTTCTACAGGAGAACTTTTAAGCATTTCAACCATAATTGAATCTTATAGGTATTTTATGTTATAAACCAACACAAAACAGACAATTATTGCGAAGTTTAAACATTTTTTAACTCAAAAACATAGAAGGCCGCAGGACAACTTGCTGAGCTCTATCATCGGGTTTAGCAAGTTTTCTGGGAGAAACCCTGATTTGATTTACTTATTGGTTTTTCCTGCTTCTACTCATTCTGCCAGATGTGTTGGAAAAATCTGAGTGACGGTTTTTACCCTCAGCTAATTCACATCCTGAGCTAATGGGGTTCATGTTCCACAGAGTTTGCATGAAGGAGGCGTCGACCATCAGATCTCCGCTGGCGTAGGACAGATGCTGAGGACAAAGGTCAGACAGAGAATCAGTTTGGTGAAGCAAAAGACGGAGAATAAAAACCACAATGACCCTCACCAGGTATCTCTCAGACGACACGCTGACAAGAATGAGGTCGTCACCCACCCTGACCTTTTCACCTTCTGACCTCTGTTTGGAGGCTGGATGAATTGTCCACCAACACGCCTCACCTGCAGAGAGAGCGCAGTCCAACAGGTGATTTATGTGGGAACGGTTTGTCACAAAATATCTAGAAAACTGATTTAAACAGCATTTATAGCAATGTATTACCAATGGAATCTTCTTGCAAGCCCACATCGAAGGCCAGCTTGTCAGTGAGGGATCGAGACGTAGTCAAACAGCTCAGATACTGAAAAAAAAAAAACATTAGCTTAGCCCGGATCTGACAGAAACTTACACTATTAATCCCTGATTTTATATCCTATTGTACAAAAAAATTCATTACTTGTGTTTATGCTGTCAATCAACTGAGAGATTATTAATTATAACACTGTGATTAGTGTAAATCTAGGTATGATGCTAATTAGATACCCTAGGCACCTAAGGAGTAAAACTTTCAATCTCAGTGTGTTTATTTTATGAGTGTTACTAATGCTCAAATAAAAGTTGAAACTGAGTCAAAATGTTTTTGACCAACCATTTACTTGTCATTCTTACTGTTTTAAATACAAACTTCCTTTCTTGTTTCTAGCCCATTTTTTGCTAAATGAAATCAATATTAGAATCTGAATTTTAACAACTTTTCTACAATTTGTTTTCAACCCAGTGTTTCATATATAGTACTAGCACATTTACTTTTTAATTTACTGTCCTACAAGCTTTTAATCTCCATTTCACAATATAAAAAATATTCTATTAGGATTTGTATTTATGTAATATTTTGGGAATCTGAATTCTTGCATGTATTATAATCAAAACAGATGCAAGAAATTTATAATTTCAACAATTATTCCTAAAATGCGCATATTGTTTATTAATGCCAGTATTACTTGTTGCCATTCCTTATTTGTCTAGTGTCGCTAAAAAGCTTCATACCTAAAACTTTTTAGAATTTTTGTCACAGGTTGTGTATTCTACTAAATCAGTTGTAGAAGACATTCATAAGTGTAAATATTATTTTTTACCCAAATTACTTCAGGGTTAAAATTAACTGGGTTTATTAGCAAAATTCTACGTCTGCACACTTAACCTGTACCACGTGTAGTTCACCCTCTGACCACTAGATGGCATCAAAACACATCTAATATTATCCTAAGCACACGAGGCAAATACGTCAACCAGCATTTGTTGTGTTCATAAACCATTTTCAACTGTATTCATAGCAAAATAATTATGTAGCCAATTAGCATCACTCGTCCATAAGGGTAAGATTAAAGCCTCACCATGCCCGAGTGGTGGTGTCTTAGAAGAATGGCGTGACCGTACAGTAAAGTGCGATGGCCTCCACCCTGCGATGACTGAGTGGGACAAAGACAGAAAAAAAACATTGGTTTATTTTTAAAACACATTCAGGTTAAAAATACGGCTGATTATCCAGAGTCTTGATCCCTCCTGGTTTTATCTTCTCTTCAGGTTTTCTACAGGATTAGGTTCCAGGAACTGAGATTTGATGCATGATGAACCAACCGAATTGAGGTTTTTACTGTTGGTCTTCACCATCACACTAATGGAGAAAATAATGTAAAATATAACGAGGTAAATCCTTCTGGGAACAGAGAAATATATGGCATTTTCCACTACAATTACTGCTTTAAAACAAAATTTGAGAAAACGAGGGCATTTCAAAGCATGCAAACATAAGACAGAACAGTCACAATAACAAAGTTATCCTCTGTTTTTTTTTTCAGAGGATATCAAGACATGAAAGATGAGGTTCAAAATAAAATCGTTAAAATAACAAACTTACATCAAACCTGTATTTCACACACAGTTTGTTCTCAACATCCATCACAAACAGAACCACAAAAAAAACAACTAATGTGGCAGTTGTGAATGGATAAAGTCAAATAACGATTTAGTTTAGCCAACAGGACAGGAAACCTGTGGACAGCTATAATCCAACGGGATAAATTGGGGGCAGGTATGTAAAGTGGTAGCATGATACCATTAACCCCAGTTAGCATTAGCGCTGGGTTTGTTGGGAGAGGTGGTGGCGTTGTGGGTGATATCCTGAGTGCTTGTGAGTTAACAGGGGGCGCGTCCAGAGCGCTGTGGGTGTCCAGTTTCCTCTTCCTTTTCTGACGGAGGCAGGTGGGACACGGTGGCGGGCGGCAGGCCAGGCTATTCCAATCCTGCTGCCCGTCATCAGGAACAACTCCATGCTGCTGTGAAGCCTGACCTGCCTGTCAATACAAACACTCACAAAATGTCTCAGATAAAAACCTCTAGCCAGTCTTTTTTTAATTTGTGAGAATGAACTCCTTCTGCTGTGTGAGATAATTATGCAACATGCAACTGCAGATAACTAAAGGGACAGTATTATGTGCTTTCCAGGCACAAAGTGCTATTCAACAGCACAATCAAGTAACTATGTTAACACAAGCTGTATGTATTGAATATGACTTAAAAGAAATGTTATTTTGTAATTTAATTAATTTTATTATTTTGTAAAAAAAAATTAATTTTTAATATTATTTACATATGCATATACACATACACATTGCAGCGTAACATCACCCTCAGCTTCCTGCTGGAGAGCAAAAAGCTGCTTGCCGATTATGACTAGCACTGATTTTAGCTGTTAAGTTTTTAACATAACACTTTAAATTCTTACATGTACACATGATATATAAAAGAAAAAGGTATGCAGTGCTCTTCCACTAATTGACAACTAGATAAGGTCAGGAAAAAATAGTGAGGGAGAGGAAAGCAGGTCAGTTATGCTAGCTTGACTATGACAATCTTAACTAGTAAATGTGCTGCAGAATTTGGTGTGTTTGATTTAGTTAGAAAAAAAGGCAAGCTACACACCAACAGATCATCAATAGAGCAGGTGTTTCAATTAGCTAATCAACCACCGCAGTGTTAGCTTAGCTAATAGCAGCGGTAGCTAATCTTAATAATCGCAAAATAAACTAAGTCTAAAAATATAAAACTGTAACAGACTGAATATTCTGTTCTTTGTGTGGGAAATGTTTGAGTGTTTTTTAGCATTGAATCCTCATACATTTGGTGTTGTCAGTCAGTTGCCATGGTGATGACTCTGTGTGTGGCTTAGCCGACACAAATGAGCGAGAAAAAAGAATACGAGTGGTTTTGAGTTATTCTTCAAAAGTTCTGCGTTAATTTCCCCTTTTCTGCACTAAACTAATAACACCTACATCTCCAGGTTTGATTTAATTAACATATTTGTTCTACTGCAGCAGCACGGCTATTGATGGCATGTAAAAGAATCGTCTTTTGCCCCTCCAGCGACGCAATGTGCAATATACTTATACTCTTCATATATTTATTACTTATTTGGCTTCTTGAAGTCCAAATTTTGTATCACAAACATGCAAATGTATGACAATAAAATAAAAATATATATCCTTGAATCCAAAAAATTAGGTCTCTGTCGCTTTAAATACTCCTGCTCTTCATGAAACTCCGGCTTCAGGAAGAAAGTGAAACTCACTTCAAATCAACTTTTTTCCCCTGCTAAATAGGTTACTTAGGATTCTGTCTTTAAAATCACTTCATGAATAAACAGAGGAAATCTGCCTGATGGCGTTAAAAACAAATAACAATGCTGCAAACTGAGAGGCTGGGGAAACCTCTGCATGAAATGAAAATGGCAGATACACTGAGACACACTGGGCTGCAGGTATTAGGTAACATCAAAACTTTACATAGCATCAATGAACACCAGAGCAGAGTAAAAGTACTCAGTTAAACAGGAAAAAACCACCAGCTGTGTGCATGACAGGGAAACATAAATTAATCAATATGTACAACATTATTTCAACCAACAGGACAGGAACGAGGACAAGTGTCGAGTCAGTTGGGACACACAGGAAGTAAAACATGTTAACAGACATACCCATTTGTCCAAATCGACTGCCTGCTTGGCAGGAAGCAAAACGGGAAGGGAGGGAAGGAGTCAGAGAGCAGGTAAAAAGAACTGGCATAAAACAAAACGTATATAAACCCAATGATCAGGATTTATAGACGTCTTGCAGTGAACAAGCAGCATGTTAAATTAATTTCCAAATAAAGAGAAATAGGAACAGGAAGTTGGGGGTCGATAATTATTCAGATGCAAATGGAAGAATTAAAGATTCACTAACAATGTTTTCATTACAAATATGCTCCAATCATTGTCTAAATTCTACTAATGTAAAAGAAAAATCACTGTTATATTTATTCAATTACATTTACTTGAGTAACGTCTTTGAAAAAAGTACTTTTAAGAGTATTTTTACTACACTGTAGTTTCTGCTTTTACTTGAGTAATTTTAATATGAAGTATTTTCACTCTTATTTGAGTAAAATCTCTGGATTTTCTACCCACTGAATCAAAAACAAACAT